TACACTTTTTTGTTTTGTGTGAAAATAAATAATCTTTACCTGGTCATCTAGAAAATTAATAATCTATCATTCACGTAGTCACATGAAAATAAATATAATCTGACTCGAAAAATAAAATTGCACCCCCAAACGAATCAAATGTTTGTCCCCTATAAATTGTATTATTCTGCTTTGATGTCCTGTAACTTCATTGATGTTTAAAAAAAACAGCGAAGTTTTAATACCATGAAGAGGTCCTGAACTTCCAAACTATCTTTAAATTTTCGTACAGTACACGCGCTTTTTGCAAAGCTATCTTCGTTTAAATCACTCTTAATATTATATATTTACTCTCTACCCCTTTCCAAATACGCCAGTATATTCAAGACTGCTTACACGTGCCTCCTATCCCTTTTCGTCCCATCAATTTGCCAATACATGTACATGTATATATATACTAAAACTTTGCAATTGAAAACATTTTTTTTTTTTTTGGATTTTTTCTCTTGTCAAAGAATTTTAGTATGAAGATCCCGATGTTTAACCTATTTTTTAAAACACTTTACAGTGAAGTATCATCATATAATGTTGAAGTATCATCATATAATGTTGAAGTATCAGCATATAATGATAAAGTATCAGCATATAATAACAAATTATCAGCATATAATGACAAACTATCAGCATATAATGACAAACTATCAGCATATAATGTTGAAGTATCATTATATAATGTTAAAGTATCAGCATATAATGACAAAGTATCAGCATATAATGTTGAAGTATCAGCATCTAATGACAAAGTATCAGCATATAATGTTAAAGTATCAGCATATAATGAATGTTCTCCACATAAGGCAGCTGCGGCGTTCCATATCCGTGCATTAACTGTATCCCATGCTTAAGTAACGGAAGTAAAATTCGTTATACGTCACCATCTATGTACATACAACAACCTTGTAACTTTTATCAACATTTCCGTATCATAGTACATCCTACTCACAAAAAAAAAATCGGCTTCAAAAAGACAAGCACTGGAACTGACACTTCGACGGACAAACCTTAATATCACTTAGCATAACCACTAGATTAGAAGTACATACAATGTCTCTAATAATCATTTAGAATAACCACTAGATTACTGGAGTACATACAAATGTATCTAAATATCACTTAGAATATAACCACTAGATTGGTAGTACATACGTCATACCTAATTATCACTTAGAATAACCACTAGATTACTAGTAAATACAATGTATCTAAATATCACTTAGCCTAACCACTAGGCTAGAAACACATACAATATGCTCAAATATCACTATGCATAACCACTATGGATTACTACCCAAATATCATTAGCATAACCACTAGATTAGTAGCACATACGTACAAGGTCTTCAACACTTGCTCTCTAAATTACAGGAAAAGAATATTTTGCGTGATAAACACAATTTTTTAAAGAAAAAAACATTGACAATGAAAGCTACATTTTTTAAAAACCGAATTAACAGCTGTATTGAAAATTCTATTTTTAAAATTTGAAATCACAAAATTTTACCAAAATGAAGAGCATCAAAACGTACGACTTTTCAACATCTTATAAACTTTATACAACCATTTCCCACGATAAATTAAAGACCAGACTATTTGACATCATAGACAACTGCTTCTTCTATAAAAATGGAACTCGTAATTTGCATACCTTGTCATTGGTTATCTGCAAACTTATTTTTGTTAAAACATTCTGATACTATACACTGAACCAAACTTCTAAGTGTTCACCTAACATTTTTTAAGTTATAAAGAACAAATGCATATAATAAAAAATTTCTTTAATTCATGGTTGATGATGCATATTTCAGTTCGATGTTGCGTAAATTTCATGTAAGTATCTCGTCAGACTTTAAAGCAAAGTGTCAAGGACATGATGTACCCTCAAAATGAAAATTTACATAAAATAATCTCTATGGAGTAAGACCACCACTCGTTCAAATTATTGCAAGACATCCTTTTCTCATGGATACCATGTACTCCTGAATAGGAGGTTGATCTATCTGCTGCCACACCTACTGAATGGATCTTTCTAAACCGTTTAAATTGTGTGGAGGGGGGGGGGGGGGGCTTGGACATTCCTTTTGAAAGTCCCAAATGTGTTCAATGGGATTTAGATCCGGGTATTTGGCAGGCCAGTGCATCACACAGATGCCTTTTTTGGCAACACTTAGACCATCCTTGGGCGTTACGCAAGTAAGTGTACCTCATTAAGGATGATTCAGACTGTTTGAGATGATATTGGACTGCCATGAGCACCAATTTGTTGCCAATTTCTTACCATTGAAGTTGCTGCTTTAAATGTTTCTAAAGTGGTTCAGGACCATGTAACAATCTTTTAACCTGGTTGTGACGCGAAACCTTGGCCTCAGACGAAGATCCAGATCACTTCCGGTTTGGTTAAATTTTGTCCAAAGCTTTCAAACTGGGATAAGTTGGCGAAAAAAATGAGACATAACCTATAGAAAAATGTGTTTAAATGGATTTTTATACTGGTTGTTAATTTTTAAGGAGGCCGACTGGGGTTTTCATTGCGCAATACTTCGCGCAGCATAGTAAAATAAAGCGTATTTACTCTTTTAAAGCAACTATTTTTACATAATTTATAAAAATTAACAAATTTAGTAAATCTCAGGTTAAAAAATCTAATTACGTTTTTAAATAACTGATTTTTTAAACGATTTTTTAAATGATGGGTAGATAGACGTCGTAATAGTGTGTTTTTGACGTTATGAATAACCGAAGTTCTTTAAGCGGGGTCATTAATTATGCCATAAAACAAAAAGTATAAAATATATGCTATTGAAATCTTAAACATAGGAAATTGAGAATCTAACAATTATTTTCATTATTTTTTATGTAAATCTGTGGTATCTGTCATGTTTTCTTGAACTTTATAAAAACTGGAAAATATCATGAATTTTGACATTTTGAGATGCCCTCTCTGGAAACCAGACTGTAGAAATTTGTGTTTCTTGCACAAAATGTACAATATAGTATTACCCATCAAATAATATAATTTGAGCAAAAAGTCTATAGTAGCATTTGTATAATTTGCTCCGAAGTGCGAAAAAATGGTATTTTCCTATATAATCCTATAGTAAATGTACCTGTATTTTGAGATTGTCCCTAAAAAATAACCAGACGGTAGATTTTCACTAAACTTGGCATGTATACTGAAATCAGTGTAATGTACATATGGTATAAAATTAAAGAGTTTCTCTATAGTAGTTTTCACACAATAAAACCCCAGTCGGCTCCCTTAAAAGTAATATCAAGGACAAATAAACAGTAAAATAAAAGGTAGTAAAACGTGTCATAAGGATGATCCAGATATCAACATTCCAACGGCTCTCCCTCCTTCCTCAATGGTCATTTTGCCCATGTTTTGTGTTTTTTAGTTAAACCAGTTGTTAAAAATTGATAATGATCACAAAAAGAAGCTGATTACACAAAGCACGTGTCGCAAAGTACAGATTTATTGTTTTTAAGCTTCGTCACGGGACATTGGTTTTCATCGGTGATAAGTGATTTTCTTTCGACAATTGTTGAGAAGACTCATTGGTTATAATAATTTGAAAATATCATAATATTCCATCATGTAGTTTTTAAATAAATGAATTTATTAGAGTGAACACTTAGAAGTTTTGTTAAGTGTACACAAGTACTCCAAGACTGATATTTAAAAGATGCTTGAGTTTGTAGTTTTCGGAGACCAGGTCTTCCAACAGTCTGTTGGAATTTCCATGGTTGCTAATTGTGCCCTACTATTACATTCAGCAGACATATGAAGCAGAATTTATTGAAAAACTTCTACATGAAAAGAAAAGGTCTCTAGCTTTGGACTTCTATTCGACATTTGCTATATAGATGACGTTTCATCAATAAACAATTTCATTCCTACGTTGATTCGATATATCCCACCGAACTTGAAATAAAAGACACCACAGAGTCTGACACGTCTGTTTCATATTTGGAAGTTTTACCAGAGAAAGACATTGAAGGCAAATTGACCACTAGACTTTATAATAAAAGTGGTGACTCCAACTTTACTATTGTCAACTTCTCTTATTTATGTAGCAATATTCCATTATCAACTGCAAGTGGAGTTTATGTCTCCCAGTTGATTTGATAAGCAGGGTATGTTCTACGTACGAACGATTTCTGAAACGAGGCAGACTAATTTTAAATAAGTTGATGATTGAAGGATATGAACAATCTTGTTTAAATTCAACCTTTCCAAAATTCTATGATCAATACAATGACCTTGTTTGGAAATTCAATCTGTTGTAGAGTCGAATGTTGACTGACGTCTGTCATACAAATTGTTAGGCCATTATTTTTATAATTTTTTTCCGTTTACCCGATCATAATAAGAAGCTCACGGCGGATGTGACAGGTCGAAGGTTGATGCTTACTCCCCAAGGGCACAAATCTCACCTCTGTTTTTAGGAGTTTGTGTTGGCATAATTTGTAGTGTTTAAAAGAATGATCACTTTGTTATCTTCACATTTCACTTTGAATAAAAAGGATATATTAACAGGAACAAGTTTCAAGTCAATATTGATTATCTGAATAAGTTTCAATCACTAATAGAAATATGGTTTAATATAAATTTTGCATTCATCAAAAATAAATTATCGTGAATCAGGCGAGCAAACTATGCTTTGAGCATACTCGTGCATGTATATATAAAGTTGGGAAAAATATTATCATTATGATATATCTTTATCGGTTCTCCAAAGACATGGTCACGATTTTTGCGTTAACTATTTTGGTGGGATTGCTACTACAGTCTACTCGTACAGGTTAGAATGCCGATCTTCTTAAAGAATCTCCCTAGTTGCTTATAACTCAGAGTTAGTGAACTGTTTTTCTATCCACTTCCAAAGTTTAACTCTTTATTAAGTTTTCTTTTATAACTATTCCCGATCTAAATGTTCAAAGGAGCGAATTCAACATTGCCTATGGGTAATGGGAATTGTGTTGGAGGGGTAGCAAGATGTTCAGGGAATAGTACAAACTTGTACTTTGACAAGCAAACAAATGGGACTGGAATTTTCATTTTCTTGAAGAGGCTTTGGTTCATGTCTTAAACTAGAGAGAATATTGAAGAAAAGAACCCAGAATACTGTAGAATTTATTTTGGAATTACATCATGAGTTGAATTGGTAACGGCCCCGACCTTCACTCTTTTGGCATTTTTAATTGACGTTTTATATATCCTTCAGCCCCTATCTTCGGTCATGGAATCAATGTTGGAGACATCAGTGACCACCGGATAGCAGAGGCCTCTGGTCTGGCGTCTAGTAGAGTTCACGCCAGTGTCCTGTACACACACAATGACAAGGGGGACTCGTCCAGAATATTTGCTGTGGACGCCGACTCCGGACACGTCCTGGCCGAACTTAACATTAATAATGCCAGAAATTATGACTGGGAGGATATCGCTGTGGGGGTCTGTCCTAATGCACCCTCAAAATCCTGTATTTACATAGGTAAGACTTTTGTTTGTTTATTTAACGACCCTTTGATAATTTTTCACTCTTGTTGAGACGCCACCGCTTGCCGGTGGAGGGTTACAAATTTAGACCTGTACTCAGCACTTACGGCCTTTGAGCAGTGAGGGATCTTTTTTTGCCAGCAACTACTGTGAAACGGTACCTCGGTTTATACGGTCTCATTTGAAGGACCGGTCTAAACGTCGCACAATGGATTCGAACCTGCGACATAAGGATCAACTCCTTACGCTGCGACTCGAGAGCAAATGCTCTAACCACTGCGATACGCGGGCGACGTAAGACTTTTGAAATGTCCCAGCAATTGATCGTAATTGTCTAAAAAAAATTTGCTGTTTGTTAGATTTCCTTCAAAACAGCTTAATCAGGGAATACTTTTGGTGTCTATGGTGGTCAGTTGTTTTAAAATTTATAATTAAAGGAAATTCAACCTGATTCTTTAAAAGTGATAAGTGGAAATTTTTTTTTTATTTTTAACTCAGAACATTTTTAAAGTTCTCTCCGTGTATTGCATAATAGTTTTAGATTTATATATTAAATGCTAAGCTTTCAAGTTTTATATACACCTGGTTTTACAGGAAATAAGAGCGTAAGTAGGAATTTCAATTAATTCTTATCTCAAAAATTAAGGTTGTTCGTGTAACTGATATACCAGTTAGTGAAGAATACATGAACAGATATTTTCTAACATTTCTTAGGAGTTTCGTGCAGTGCCTATATTCCATATTTTTTAAAAACATTTTTAAAAATGGACAATTCTCTAACACTGTACCATGTAAACAATTTTAAGAAAAACCATTATCATTACCTCTTACCAAAGTAAGGGATAAATAATGAAAAACGTGAAGATAACGGAACAGTGATCGATCTAAAAAATCTATAAACAATACAAATCTGTGAAGAGGGTATAAAACACGGACCCCTGGAAATTCCAGATACGGGATCACATGCCTAGGCGGAGTAAACATCCCCTTTTGACTGGTCACACCCGCCGTGAATTGATCAGGTAGACGGAACATTCCGAAGTAAAATATAGTATAAAGACAAAGGCCTAACAGTCGCTATGAAACACGTCAGCCAAAATACAACCCATAGATATGTTATTTTTGTTAACAAGGTCATGATAACGACCATAGAATTTGCGAAATGCTGACTTTAAACGAGGTTGATTAAATCCCTGTAATATCAACTTATCATTCAGTAGTTTTAAATATTTCGTTTTAAAAATTGATCGAACTCAGAGCATGCTCTTGAGTATCGAATAAATTGGGAGACGTAAACACCCTATGTAGGTGATAGCGGAATATTACTACATAAATAAGGAAAGTTGACGATGAAAAGGGTGAAGTCATCTTGTTTGTCATTTAGTTTAGTTGTTAGTTGTAAACTATCAATGTAAATAAACAATCAAACTCACACCAGATGCAATAGTTGTCTTTGTATACAAAGTTCCAATGCGAATGTCGCCTGTATCGTAGTGGTAAGGCGTTTTCTTTATGTAATATTTGTGGTTTTTCATAGAATTTTGGGTCATAATGGACATAATTCAATGTATAACTAATTCCCATCTAATAATACAATAAAACTTATTTGATTATAATTGTGTAAACTTTTCAAAAATTAAAGGCCAATATTCCATTAAAATGACATACAGAAAACGAAATTGTTCGTACATTTTCTTCATAGTGTTTGTGATGAAGACGTGTCAGTTATTTTTGGACAAAGGTTAACATTAAGGTGGTTAGTACATGTTCTTTATAGCATTTGAAAATGGGTCAGATATTTCTGGACAAAGGTCTAAATTATGATGTACACACAAGAACATTTGCGTGTAAAAGGTTCCTTTCTTATTGTTATCTCGATAGGTTACAGATTTTCCCGTTTTTATTTATTGTGTACCTGCATGGTTGCAGTCCAATATATCTATGTAGTATAACATTTAGTCTGTTATAGGAGATACCGGTGACCACTCAGGGGACGGGAGCGTGAAGAATATTTACTTGGTAGAGGAACCACTTCTACTGAAGGATGGAAGTTTGAACCCCATAGCTACACTTCATTATGAGTAATGAACAGTTTACAATTATATCTTTATTTGATTAGTAATGCTACAATTTTGTAATTGCACTTTCTGAAATTGTATCTACTAATTTATATCACTTGATTTTTAATTCGTCAGTTGAACAAAATTAAATAACAAAGAAAAATTATGCTTTCTACAGGTGGAACGTCATAGATGCCGAAACGTTAATGGTGGATCCAAATGGCAATGTGATTCTCATAACAAAAGTTCACGGTGGCCTTGGACAGATTGGAATAATTCCCTCTTCGGCTTTTCTTAGCACTTCTACGTACCAGATAACTAGGTCAAGCACCCTTAATATTCCTCCCACAACTCACAACGATCCTGTGGGTGGAGACATATCCCCCAACGGCCGCGAGGTGCTCTTGAGAACACACAATACAATATATTACTGGAGAGTGGATAATATGGACTATTTGACTGCTCTCAGTACCGCTGACCCCGTGGTGGTATCACACGTCAAAGAGCACCAAGGCGAGGCTGTGGCATGGGACGCGCTTGGAAACGGTTACTTCACGTGCAGTGAGGGACATAACGAACCGATTTACTACTTCAGGCGAAATTCCTTTTAATTCAAATTTCGATTAGAATTCAAGACAATGAATTTTTACGCATGTTGGGTTCAATCCCGTTCTGATCACGGAAGAAATTTCATTCAGTCCATGCAACAGTATTCCCCCGCAAAAAATGCGATACAACTCATGGCGATTTTATTACAATAGTGATAGTTTTTCTTCCTGCAGCCGTGAAGCATTTCATTTGTATCATATTGTGTATTATATATTTATACTAATTCTTGAGAGCCTTTTTGTCAGTAAACGGACAGAACATTAAATTGTTTTGTCTCATAGCGGTTTTTTTTTATATCAAGTGTACAATACCTGGAGACACACCAGGCCCCAAGACCATAAACTGAGAACAGACTTAAGTCAAAATTTCAAAGCAATATAACACTTTAAAATAATTTTGATAATGAAACGAAATTTTCATCATATATTTAAATTTAAATGTTATATAAAATTGCAAAATTTTAAGCAAATACATTTTTAAAAAAAACTCAAGATATTAAAAATCAAAATTTTGACTTAAGTCTATTTTCAGTTTATGGTCTTGGGGCCAGTAGTTGGCGGAGCATGTAATAAATCAAAACTGTTTTTTTTTATTGATTTAATGTACCACCTCAAAAATAAATAAATACGTAAAAACACTACATGGGAAGCCCATTTAGGACCTATCAAAAATATATGTGAATTTGATATAACAATTTGTCGAATTGTTAAAACGAATATTCTTTGTGTAACATCTTGGATCTTTCTCAGGTGAGCAGAATAGTCTCTGTGTATCATAGCATTGGTCAGTGTTTTCCTACATGTACATATAATTAATGTTGAGGAACATCTTATCTCTACATATACTTATCGACTCGCCAAAGACATGGTCACGATGTTGGTATTGATCCCTTTGGTGGGAACGTTATTGCAATCAGCTTCTACAAGTTGGTATCTCTTTTTCCAACTGATCCATAAAAATATTGCTTGTTGAACTTCGTTTTATCCAGTTTTCAAGTTTTAAAAAGTTAAATTCGATTGATTTAAAATATTCTTTCTAGTGGGTAATTGGGGATGCGGGTAAAAAATGAAATAAAAAAAATTATATTTTGACAAGCGAAAATGGGGGTTTATAATGCTTGTTTTGCTGTTTATTTTGCTAAATTAAAAAACGTATTGAAGTTGCATTGCTTTAACTCTTAATATGGACATAAGCATTCCCCTAGAAAGAGAATAGATTTATGTGTAAGAATGTGTAAATTTTGAAATTAAAAAAATATTCAAAGGTAAAAACCCTGTGCTAGATAGAATAATACATAACTTATGTAACTATGTCATGATTAATTGGTAACGACCCTGAACTTTTTATCACCTCGTGTCTTCTGTATTTAAATTTTACAACGTTAATACATGTATATCTATCAGCCCCTACCTTTAGTCATGGAATCAACATTGGAGACATCAGTGACCACCGGATAACAGAGGCCTCTGGTCTGGCGTCTAGTAGAGTTCACGCCAGTGTCCTGTACACACACAATGACAAGGGGGACTCGTCCAGAATATTTGCTGTGGACGCCGACTCCGGACACGTCCTGGCCGAACTTAACATTAATAATGCCAGAAATTATGACTGAGAGGATATCGCCGTGGGGGTCTGTCCTAATGCTCCTTCTAAACCCTGTATTTACATAGGTAAGATGATAAAAGAAAGTACCCCCATTGTTTTTTGACGGCCAGTTACTTCAAACAAAATTCCACGTCACACTAAAAAGTCAGATGTCAAACAGCAGAAAACTTTATTTTAATATGATTTTTTTTCCTTTGGACTAACTAGATAATGCATAGATAAGAAAAAAAATTTACAATTCAGAAGATATATCTGCTAAAAAAAAAGGATGGACATAAAAAAAATTGCTGTTTTGATTTTCAATATCTAAGGTCTGACTATAATATCTGCTATACTAATGGATAATAGGTTCATGATGTTTTGGATTATATGATACTGCAATTTAGAAATGTTTTTGCTCTTTTAAATGCTTGCAAGAGACATAATTTAAATCTTTAGAATTACTGTAAAATCATTTATTTTCGTGGGGTCAAATTTTCGTTGTTTGAGGAAAGAATATTGGTTCAGAGAGATTAGTTTTGATTTTGTGTGTGAAGGTGTTAACATGATACTGGTATGTAAAATCAACATTTCGTGGAGGAAATAAATTTATTGGTCTCTTCATACCTAACATTTCGAGGAGGAAATAAATTTATTGGTCTCTTCATACCTAACATTTCGAGGAGGAAATAAATTTATGCGTCTCTTCATACTTAACATTTCGAGGAGGAAAAAAATTCGTGGGTCTCTTCATACCTGACCATTTCGTGGAGGAAATGAATTCATGGGTCTCTTCAAACCACGACAAGAACGAAAATTACAACCCTATCACCACGAAAATTACAGAGTTCACAGTAAAAAATATTGCATGTTAATACAATAAAACACCTAACTTAAAGAGCATACGTGTAATAGGTGATCATGAGTTTAAGCCTGATAAAATGTCATATTTATTACTCATGATTACCATGTCTCGAAGTATAGAAAAATGTGATAAATATGTGCCCTCCAAATGTTGCTTTAATTAAAGTAAAGAAACAAAAGTTTCCCTCCACAGTTTGGTATCCAAAGAGCACGTTGACCAAAAATAGTTTCTGTCGTATCTCCCCACTTTTGCCTGTTTTGTTCCCCAACAAGCATTCAGTGATAACCATCAGAGTCGATGTGACTTATTGCTACTATCAATATACTAGTAGTAGGATATTGTCTGTTATAGGAGACATTGGTGACCACTCAGGGGACGGAAGTGTAAAGATCATTTATGTGGTAGAGGAACCACTTCTACTGAGGGATGGAAGTTTGAACCCCATAGCTACACTTCATTTTGAGTAATGAACAATTTTCACAATTTTATCTCAACTTGATAAGTGATTGCTGAAATGCTGTAAATGTACATTATAGTTCCTGGAATTGTGCTTATCAATTTATATTAAGTTAAATATTATTTTACTCCGGAACAACAAAAAATCAACAAAGAAAAATCGGTTTTGTAGATGGAATGTCATAGACACCGAAACATTAATGGTGGATCCAAATGGCAATGTGATTCTCATAAGTAAAGTTTCTGGTGGCCTTGGACAGATTGGAATAATTCCCTCTTCGGCTTTTCTCAACACTTCTACTTACCAGATAACTAGGTCAAGCACCCTCAATATTCCATCCACAACCCACAAGGATCCACTGGGAGGAGATATATCTCCCAACGGCCACGAGGTTCTCTTGAGAACTCACAATACAATATTTTACTGGAGGGTGAATAATATGGACTATTTATCTGCTCTCAGTACCGCTGACCCCGTGGTGGTATCACACGTCAAAGAGCACCAAGGCGAAGGTGTCGCGTGGGACACACTTGGAAACGGTTACTTCACGTGCAGTGAAGGACATAATGAACCAATATATTACTTCAGGCGAAACTCCCTTTAATTTAATTTTACATTTGGTGATGATAAACTTTTACATAAAATGTCCCTTGGGTTTAATAAAAACAAAATTATTCATTTCTAGCAACTGCACATCCTAGCAAAGAATAAAGGAATTGAACAATAAATTGTGTTAATGATATCTCTTGCTCTGACCTTCACGTATTATCAATTAACAATAGTTTTCTTCTATTCATATGTCGACTCGATATATCACAGTGAACTTGAAATAAAAGATACCACAGAGTCAGACACATCTGTTTCATATTTGGATATTTTACAAGAAAAAGACTTTAATGGTAACCAAACAACAAAGCTTTATGATAAATGTGACGACTTCAATTTTTCAATCGTCAACTTCCCTCACTTCTGTAGCAATATACCCTTATCACCTGCTTATGGGGCTTTTGTCTCCCAGTTCATTCGATATGCAAGTTCATGCTCTACGTATGAATTTTTTCTAATATTTTCTAAAACGAGGCAAGCTATTGACAAACAAGTTTAAACAAGAATATCAACAGTCTAGTTTGAAGTCAACATTTCGCAAGTTCTATGGTCGATACAATGACCTTGTCAGCAAAAACAATCTGTCATCAAGTCAAATGCTGACTGACTTTTTTCATACTAATTGTTAGGTTATTATTTACACACTGAATTGTCAACGGATTTTTCCGTTATTTCCCGATCATGACAAGGAACACAGGGAGGGTGCGACCGGTCGGCAGGGGAATCTCACTCCTCCATAGCACCTGATCCCACCTCGGATGTTTTGGATGTCTGCTCTGCTCCAAAATTTGTATTGTTTAATGGACTTTTGAGCTTGAATACTGTTCGTTATCTCCATATTTCATCTAGAATGTAATAATTTTGTAAGCCCAGAAGGCTCCTTCAACATTCGAAATTTATACTCGTATTTCGAGATGCAGTATATAAATTAATTAGTCAGATGGCTCATTCTATATCGTATTCAAAATATACGAAATTCAAAATCCTATGTCTATAATTAACCAATACAATTTGGTTTTCAATATATCATGATGATTTAAAAGCCACATGTGGACAATTTCTATCTAAAGTATGATAAACAAATTATGGACTCGATTTTCTGCTTTCTGCTTTACTATCGGTAAATCAGGACAGAACCGTATTTTTCGTTGATTTAAACTAATAATTGTTAATAAATATTGTACCTACAGAGTCTAAGATTTTCGAGTCGAAACTTACTTTTCATCTATACGGTTAATTTATAATTTATCGACGAAAAAATAAATTATAAAAACCCAGAATATGAACCCAGGAATTTTCAATTTTGCTATCTTTTTACCCCTTTTATATAAGTGGGACAATTAAATATTCAGAAATACAAGTTAAACAGGATGCCCTTGATAAAATGCATATGTGTAATTATTATTATTGAATATCGCATTTTATTTTCAATATCAATTTATGAATTTTGTACTTATGTGCAAATTCAAAGAAGTTGTTATTAATCATTATATAAAAACATAAGTCTTTATTTAAAAAAAATCACATCATTCTTCGGTCCTGGGGGCAAAAATTAAGACTCTATAAAAAAAAAACCCCACAGCGACTTTTTTTATTTTATTTTATTAAATAAATATTATTATTTTTTGAAAAATATATAGTTGTCTTCTTATTAAGGATGCATTTTCCTAAATACATGTATGTACATGACTCTTCTTGCAAAAATATGATGAATGTAGTGTTGTTCCCTGGGGGTGGGGAGGGAATTGGGTCAAAAAAGACATTTTTGGATACTTGGCTATATAACTCCATAATGGGACATATCCCAACCTTTTCATCAGCTTCTGAAAATGCAATTTTTTCTATAGGTAAGGCATCCCGGTCCACGAAAGCCCTTTGTTAGCAAAGATTTATCGTTCGTGCAAGGAAGAATTAAATGGTAAATTGAAGTATTTATGGCATATAATATACATGTACATGTATATTTACGACATACGAAAATTACAGCATATGTCCAACCAAACCCCTATCTTTACTCCTCACCAAAGTATTAATTACTATGACGGAGAAAAGTCAGACGTATGTTCTACAATATATACAAGAAGTAGTGTAAATCAAATATAGATTCTAGAAAACTCCAAAGAACTTCTGGAAAATTTAAAATCTCAGAACTTTTCAAACATCAATAGCATCAAAACATATACATGTATGACTTTTCAACTCTGCATACAACCATTTCTCACAATAAATTAAAGAGCAGGCTTTTTAATATCATAGACAACTGCTTCCTGAATAAAAAAAAATGGAAGTCGTATTTTCATATCTTGTGATTGGTCACCTACAAAATTAATTTGTTAAAAGTCATTCCAAGTCTACATACAAGTAATCTGAAGTTGATATTACAAAGATGCTTGAGTTTCTCATTGACAATATCTTTGTAGTCTTTGGAGACCAGTTCTTTAAACAATCTGTTGGAATTCCGATGGGCAATAAATGTATTCCTTTATTAGCCAAACCTATTTTAATATTCCTATGAAGCAGAATGTATTGAAAAATCTTAATGAGACGGAAACATCTCTAGCTGTGGCCTTCAACTTAACATTAAGATATATCGACGACGTTTTATCAATTTACAATTATAGTTACTTTCATTCATATGTTGACCAATATATCCCAGTGAACTCAAAATAAAAGACATTACAGAGTCTGCCACATCTGTTTTACAATTGGATGTTTTTTCTGAGTAAAGACGATAATGGCAAACTAGTAACTAAACTGTTTGAAAAACGGGATGACTTCAGCTTTTCTATCACGAATTCCCTTATTAGTCCCCTACCGGTGAAACCGGAGGGGACTATAGGTTTCCTCTGAGTCTGTCCGTCCGTCTGTCTGTCTGTCTGTCTGTCTGTCTGTCTGTCCGTCTGTCTGTCTGTCTGTCCCTCTGTCTGTCTGTCAGTCTGTCCCACTTGGTTTTCCGCACTTTTTTCCTAAACGCTTGTAGATATTGAGCTGATTTTTGGTATGTGAGTGTATCTTGATGAGTTACAGATCAAGTTTGCATTTCGTTCCGCTTCATTGATTTTTGACGGAATTACAGCCTTTTCAATTTTTAAGGGTTTTCCGCAATTTTCTTCTAAACGCTTGTAGATATTGAGCTGATTTTTGGTATGTGGCTTTACCTTGATTACTTATAGAACAAGTTTGCATTTCGTCCCGCTTCATTAATTTTTGACGGAATTATGGCATTTTCAATTCTTAACGGGAACCAGATTACACTTGCCGGTAGGGGACTAGTATTGCTAATGCAATACTCTCAGAATGCTTGTTTATGTAGCAATATTCCAATATCAACTGCATATTGTATTTATGTCTCGGAACTGATTCGATACGTTAGAGTGTGCTTTGAACACGATCCATTTTTAAACCGAGGCAAGCCACTGACAAATAAGTTGATGTTACAAGAAATTCAATAACTTCTTTTAAGTCAGCTTATCGCAAATTCTATGGTCCTTTTAATGACCTTGTTTTGTAAATATAATCTATCTTTTGGTCTTACTTTGACATATTTCATACCATTTGTTAGGTCATTGTTTTTAGCTTTTATTCTTAATTTGACGACGGAGTACTCTGTCCACCAGATCGATACATAGGGCTCACGGGGGATGTGACCGGTTGACAGTAGATGCTTACTCCTCATAGGCACCTGATCCCATCTCTGTTGTTTCCAGGGGTCCGTGTTTTTGCCCCGTTCACGATTAACTCTTTTGTTTACAGGTTCTATGAGATTGATCACTTTTATCTTCACCTTTTACGTTCTTGAAGAAAGAAGTTAAAAGCCTCGAATGTCTTATCTAATGATAAATATATCAGTATGTTTTATCAAAATAATATGCTGTCTCCCAGTCTCCTAATGAATTTGAAATTTACAGTCTAACCTATATTTTGAATGGTAAAAACGAGATTTTGAATCTCGAAATTCGATTCTCGTATGTCGAATGAGCCATCTGGGCTTTCGAAAGCTTTATCATTCATTCATGTTCATATGACTATTCATATTATTCAAGTAATAAATGAACAAATCATTCTCAAGTTTGATCCGTTTCTATGAAAGCGGAAGTCTTTACAAGAGTTCACTCTTGATATAAATCAGTCAGGATTATCCTCGAGTATAAAGATGCGACCACACTAACCGTCTTGTTTTAATGTTTTTGGACGAATTTTAGTTGTCTCTTGACACGTTTGAGGTATTAATCCTTCTGTTATAGAATATGTTTAACTGAGACTCTGTACAGACAGTTTATACTCATAGTCATTTTGTCATGGTAAAGATTAAAGTTTGGGACTCTGCAAAATTGTAAACCAAGAATATTAACTTTACGAGAATCGAATTTCGAGAGTCAAATGGTTACATTGGGTTTCGGTTGGCTGACGCTGAGAATAGTATAAGTACAATTTTATCATGTATAATTTTATCTTGCTTTACAAGGAAAACAGTTTTGGTGGTGTTTTTTTTTTTTTGCTCCCTATATGCAAGATAAACTATGTAAACATGCAAGAACAGTATGTCAGCATGGAAGATAATTATCTGTAGATGTTAGAAAATAACTTACATGAAAGATCAATCATTTTAGAGAATCTGATTTCAATGTAAGCAATCTTACTAAACGCTAGTTTCTGAAATACACGTACATACAAGATGCAACGTACATGTACAGTAAAACTCGGTTATAACGAAGTCACTGGGACCTGTGAAATTACTTCGCTATATCCGTAATTCGTTATATCCGTATATAGCTGGGGATCCAAGAAAACTTCGCTATAACCGTAATTCGAAATATCCGTGTTTGCACTGTATTTATGTTAACAGGCGACCTATCTTTATCAGCATGCGACTTATTCATGTCAACATTCGATATAATAATGCATGTTAACTTCCATGTCAACATGTTCGACATCTGCTTTTATTATGCGTTTTGATTTAAGGAGGCTGGGGGGTCAACAAATTAACCGTCAGATATAACTTAATTTTTTAGGTATGATATCTCAAGCTGTCAACTTTCATTTGGCAAAGAAAAATTTCATAAATTTTAGTTTAAAAATTTGATCATTTTTGTATATCTTTATATGGAGCTCTTCTTCTGCAAGGAGATCAATATAGTCTGAAAATGGCCACAACCCCGCAGCCTTCTTAATTGACATGCAAAATATTCTTGTTGATATGCGGCTTAATTGTTTATGTTGCATGATGACATTATGTTCCTTGTCGAAATAATTAAGTCGCATGAGAACAAAATTATGTTGTGTGTCAATTTAATTAACTAAATAAGCCTTTTTCATTAATGATGTCAGATGCTGGCATTAGTACTAGTAAGTAAATTTACACATATGAAAATCAGATTTGCTCTAAAACAATTGGTAACTTGCAACTGCATGTCAACATTTTGCATGTAGACATAATTGCCTTGCATGTGTTGACATACCTAATTTCTGGCATGTTGACATAATTTATATGGCTTTAGAGGTTATAAATATGCCACCATGAAAAATTGCTGTGAAATGTTGATATTGCTTTAGAGACAGCGTTTTCGTTCTGTCTGTTTGTAATCCTCTGAGTATTAAGGTGGCCACTTTAATACTTCCAGTTTACCACGTCTTCCTGTGTGTCAACGGATTTCACCTCTCAGAATGACACTGTCACTGTATTTCTGGTGAATAGAATGATGCGACCGTACTTACAGTTTTGTTTTGTTATACTGGGATCCGCTTTAGTTGTCTCCAGCCAGGAATGTTTCGAATTACAGATGTATGTTTCAGTACTTCAATATAGTTTCAGAAATGTGACTTACAAATTTGTGGAAATAATTGAATTTTTATAGATTTTCACTTAAATTCCAAATGAAATGTCAATCTTAAAATATCAAGTTTTTGACAAAATTGGTGTAGGATTGTGCAGTTGTTTTAAGTATAAATTACAATTATTTGATTAATCAAATTTATTTAGATTTCATTAAATATATATATATATATATATATATATATATATATATATATATATATATATATATATATATATATATATATATATATATATATATATATATATATATATATATATATATATATATATATATATAACTTTTGAAGTTTTGAATGTTACTTTCTTCGATTTTTTAATGAATTCAGATGTGTTTACTAGAAGTCTTAAAAAGCGAATAAAGAAAAAAAGTGTTCATGTAATTTAAGGTGATATGTTGAGCATCGCAGGTGCACCGTTTTCGTTTCCCTTTGCATATTTTTACAGAAAAGAAGAAACTTTTTTCGAGACCATACCAAGCTTAAAGACTAGAACAAGAGCAGTCAAAATGGGGAGGCATTACAAAATTAAAGTTGAGTGAGTGTGATTTCAGATATTTGCTCATTTTTTGTTCTTTCTGTCCTTTACCAAAAATTTTGATATTTCTTTTGAAAAATTTGTACATAACAATTGTTTAAATAGACATTTTGTACGTCATAGGGAACTACTTTACCCTGTCTATCGAGATTACCTTTTATTGACTAATGCTGCCTTATATGTGAGAATCTGTTCGTTCTGTTTAGTTTGGATTATTCAGACAATTTTTTTCCCTTGCATAACTAAACCAATTATGTTTTACACATATTCGTGAATTGGCGGACTTCTCATTTTACTGTTTTTACCCTGTTCATGATTAATATCGTTTACAGGATTTCAGAAATTGGTTACTGTATTTTCATTTTCAAATACGTTGACGAAAAAAGTTTTATGTACGAGTATTTCACTTTTCTTGTGATTTAGCTTCAAAAATCTATGATGTCATTTTAAACTGGTGTATGTTTGCAATGCTGAATTTCACTGTGTATGGAAAATTTTCAAGCCTGAGCTTGAAATACCGAGACCTTTGGAGACGTTGGTACTATATATTTCTCTGGTTCTTGACCTGATTCTTGGTCATTCTAACTTATTTTTTGTGTGTGTATAAGGACGTTTCTGATTCAGTGCGAGAATATCTACATTATTCAAAAATGTTTTGAAATCTAATGTATTACTTTAATCTGTGTATTATCCCTCAATTTTCACGTCTTTTATTAAGGTACCACGAAGTCATTGAAGAAAAAAGTGTACAACGGAATGTGACAGTCAACTCCACAAAGTGTTGCCAAGGTTACCAAAAAGAGAGAGATAAATGTATACTGAGTAAGCATTAAAACTGCTCGTATAAAGATTTAAGACCCCAGTGTTGTGTTTCCCAACCTGTCTGGGCGTCTTTGATTGGTTTTTGATTCACAAAATTTACATGTAGTTGGTTGAGTTGATGCTGATTGGATAAAAATGATTTCAGGTGAAGAATAATGCAGTATTCTTATTTTTTGTATTGCAAACATATGTATTAAACTAACTTTTCCTATTTATACACGCAGAACAATGAAAAATATGTACATGGTAGGAATAGTTGTTTATATGTCAAAATACAATTCATTCCAGTTAAAAGTATATGAAACGAAAACAATCATATTTTATTAAATGAGAATGTGTTTGTCACATTCATCGAATTATGATTACAAAACACAGATACTAATTAAGGATCGTTTTGGTATTTAGAGCAAGTGTCAGCCATTTTGAAGCCTAATGTTTCGGACGCCATGAAGGTGTCGTCTCTGGCTGTTCCGGTAGTCATGCTGATCCTCATGTTCACCGTGTCCATCGCCATTGTTCACCGCCTCTACTCCAAAGATACACCGTGTAAAGGGTTAGATTTATTAGCTTTATAATCTAGATAGGATACATGAACTTTGTTATTGAGCACAATTTAGATATTTAGATACTATACTGTAAAATGACGCTGTAATCTCTAAACAATATGGTTGATTAATTGTGAATAATTTATCAAAGTTCTCTTTAACTTCAGATTTATAAATATCATTACAACCCGTCAAGTTTGCGAAAATTTATTTGCCAGGCTGTGAGCCTTGCACAAACAACCTTGATATAAAAAAAAATCTGATTTAAACGTTAAACACGTGTAAATAACATGCATTTTTTTCCCCTTTTTATTAGATACAATGCCAAAATTATATAAATAAACATATTTTTGTTTCTTTTTTGTTAAATAGAAAAAGCAGAGAAAAAGACGATACTGAAAAATCAGTCATTAAAAGAAATGGTAAGAATCTGGCAAAATATTCGTTACACTCTTAGCTCAAGCATGGACATGTGATTATTGGTAAAATGCTGACTCAAGTATTAAAAATAAACACAAAACATAAACATATTTCTCGAACCCTAATACACTATCAAGTTCAATTTAAAATGACATCTTTGTATTCCAACAGATGAGTTTTACACACAGATTGAAGGTAGGGAGGAAGGTAGTAGAGAATATGATGAGCTGCGCGGTCCCCACCGGAACACAGCGGGGAGTCGGCTATACGAGGAAGTGAGAATTACGCAATCAGCTGACTGCAGGAACTAATGTGACTTACGAACAAACATCATAAAATAATTAAACTGCTGCTGAATACCTCAGGAAATCAATTAAAACACGAAATAGTCAACAATTATCATTCTAAGGAATGGTATTTGCTTATAGTAATGATTTCATTTTAGAGATGTGTTCATAACAAACGTATACAAACAAGTAAACATTTGTTTTACTCAAAACGATTCGATTTTCTATTTCTTCAAATAAGAATCGGCAGATTTACGTCAATTGTTAATTTTCAATACTTATTCTTTTAATTTTATTGCTATATCGATTAGTTCAAATGTAACTCTGTAAAATAAGAAATAAACAGTCAGCAGGGTAAGATAAACTGAATCGGGGTGGATATCTTAAAGATCTTCACAATTCATTTATTATTAATGAAAAAAGGATCGGAACAATTATACTAAAGTAAACTAGCCTTTCCAGGTATTAAATCAAAATATCACCACTCACTAGTGTACATCAGAAGGACAATGCGTGTTTCTTAGAAGTCCGGAATTACATGCATGAAATATGGAGATAGCTAACAGTATTCAAGCTCAATGTCCATTTAAACAATACAGATTGGGAGCAGAGCAAACACGGACCTCCAAAATCCTCAGAGGTGGGATCAGGTCCCATGGAAGAGTGAGGATCCCCTATGCCGACCGGTCACACCCGCCGTGTGTTCCTTGTCATGATCAAGGAAAACGGAAAAAATCCGTAGACAATTAGTGTATAAATAATGGCCTAACAATAAGTATGAAAAAGGTCAGTCAGCAATTGATCTAATGAAAGGTTGTATTTGCTGACAAGGTCATTGTATCGACCATAAAACTTGCAACATGATGACTTCAAACGAGACAGTTGATAGCCTTGTTTCATCAACTTGTTTGTCAATTACTCCCAATGATTTATAGAGGACCCTATTAATTCTGAGGTCAAAGGGTCAAGGTAAATAATTCATGTCTTGTAAAAATGGTTTTATGATTATACATGTTACTTGAGTATTCCTTGAAGTTTTGGAATAAAACTTTTATACCTTTAGTCAGTGTGACTTAAAGAAGGCTTTTTAAATTTTGAAGTCAAAAGATCAAAAATCAAGGTCAGAAATTCAAATATTGCTTACAAAACTTAAGTTTTCTTGAAGCTTTTGCTATGACACTTAAGGTCATGAATTTCTTTAACTCAAAAAGTTCCCTCTTGACTTAAAGGCCAAAGCTGAAAGGTCAAGGTCGATTTTTTGCTTTCCCCGTCTGCATTTTTTTCAGGTCTTTAAGGACATTTGCAACGTACCTTACCTACTGATAATTTTTCAAGATATTCTTACTTTAAGATTATAGTGCCATCAGATGTTCATAGACAAAAAATCAGCATGCATTACCATAGGTTTTGAAAAGATATCAATTAATTAGAATTCTTGTATAATTCAAAGAAAAATATACAAAAATTACTAAACATATATTCCAAACGTTTTGTTTATCCAAACTTGTTTTAGAAGAAGTGTACAACAGCATATATAGACATAAAAATGTAGCACACAGTTTCTTTAAGTTATTGGAACTCTTCATCTCCAGGGGAATAGACAATAAAGTTCAAACTACGTTGCGTATGTCCTTAAGTATGGGAAAAATTACTTATTTTTTAATTTTTTCCCCTAATTTCTGACTTTCGAAATTTTCTTTCACCTGAAGAATGATGTGTGTGTGTGTGTGTGTTTCATTGTTATTTATCTAAAACTGATGAGGTACTTGTATATGGCTCACAGAAGCTAATTGTTACTCTTATCGAATTTTGCATTATATACATTTTACTCATTGTACTCAGACAAAGAAATTAAAGTTCAATGCTCCTATCTCGGAGCTAAGAAATATACACAAATCTTTTTAAGTATTGACGAGGTTTTGACTTTTCTTAAAGGCAGCCCGATCCCTTAGTTATTAGTATTCTTTATCACGTACATAAGTATCTTTAATAAGGACGTTTAATATGGGCAAATGTAACATATATACTTATTGGTTATTATTTTCCCCACACGAATTTTGGGAACATATTGTTTTTATGTCGTTTTTAAATGTCTCTTGTGGAACTTATTTTCCACGAGTATTCTCAAAAAGTACTCGTCTGATTGAGACAAAACCCCTTAGATCGATTAGGTATGTTGTGTAGATGTGCAAAACGAAGATCAATTTTGCATGAGCGGGCGTGCGCGTGCGATTAATTTTAAAAATGACTTATAAATCAAAATAGCTTTAACTATATCAGATTTTTGTTGAAATGCTTCGAAACTCAGTACATAAACAAATAGTAGTCAGATAGTAGTCAAGACAAGATGACTTGGTTAATTAGCATGATCGCACGCGCATGCACATGTGCTTCGTTCTGATTGCCTGGGACCAAAATTTCAATAACTTCCTTGTTTCGTGATAAAATACTATGAAATTTATAATAAAGGTACAAGTTAGAAAATTCTACAATACGGCATACATAAAATTTTCTTGAAAACACGTGCATGCTGTAATTTCATTGGATGAAACTTTAAATGACCATAATTTTCTTAATGTTCAACAGAACAGGACAAAATTTACAATATATATATATATATATATATATATATATATATATATATATATATATATATATATATATATATATATATATATATATATATATATATATAAAACTACTATCTCAAAACTGAATGACATGCATTCACGTGTGCTGAATTCTTTAATGACCAAAACTCACTTTGATAATAATAATCAATGATATAGTTTGAATTGTAAAACAGAGGTATATATTATGAGATCCTATAAGAAGATATATGTCCGATATCTAGAAAGCACGTGCATGCACGTAGGCTGAAATCTGATTGACAAAAGCTGTAAATGGCTATAATTTTTTTGTTTGTTTGTTGTTTAACGTCCCTCTCGAGAATTTTTCACTCATATGGAGAAGCCACCACTTGCCGGTGGAGAGCTGCAAATTTTGACCTATACTCGGCACTTACGGCCATTGAGCAGTGAGGGGTCTTTTTCGTGCCAGCATCTACTGCGACACGGGACTTCGGTTTATATGGTCTCATCCGAACAAAAACAAAACAAGACAAAATTCAAGAGTAAGGCAAAGTATATGTGACCCTGCATTATTAAACAAAAGAACATGCATGCATATCTGGCGAATTCTGATTGGTTGATAAATCTCGATTGCTGTAACATTTAATTCTCAATGAAATTCTTTGAATTTTAAGATGTAGCTTTATATCATGAAATATCATTAGATGTTACATGTATATGTACATGTCAATTCTTGAAAACATACGCATTCATGTGAACAGAAGTGTAATTGGCTAATACTTGTACGGATATATCTGCCTTGTGATCCCAAAAATGTACTTGATAAATAAGTGTAGTTTGATCATACGAAATTATTTGCATAATTTATTGAAAATTGTAGGGAATATGGTTTTTAAAAGGGAGTAGGGGGGACGTTTGGGTGACATTTGTAACGGTTCCTGTTACAATAAGTACAAGTTTTGCTTGGATTTCTTAAAATGTTTCTTTATGACCCTCAGTTTTATTTTACATTTTCCAAATCAAAGTAGCCTTTTCGGTAAAGATTGATATGAATTACTAGTATATTCAGGAAAGTCAATGTCGATGGTTTAAACATAAATGATTATAAGTGAAATTTTTATAGTTTATTTGAAAGGATATATACATGTGGTGCAAAGCAGAACAACAAAAGCACTTGATAAACTATAAATTTTCTATTGCCAGGTCAATTTAATATGTTGACGAATCAAGAAATCGTTATTAAATGTTCGTCTGAATGGAAGTTTATTAAATCTGATTCTAATTTCATCGACAATTTAAACATGGATTTAAAAAAAGTTCCAAACTAAATACCAGGTAGTAATTACGTTTTGTAACGAGGCTTTTGTAAGATGAATAAGGTCAACTTGAAGGAGAGCTTCTTTTGAGAAAACCTATAAAAGTATTTGCTGTTGAGGAGTGGAGGGGATATGGAAAAAATGAAGCTTTTTCTGTAACTTCCAGTTAAAAACCGATATAAAATACAAGAGATTCATATTCTACTGGTGTTATTTTGCAATACCCGGTATATTTTTGAAACAGATGACTATGATGGGAGAAAAATACGATCTGTGGGGTAAAATCGGTTATTCAAACAACATTTCAGCTTCCTTCAAAATCAATTATTAACATCACTGTATGGATTTTTCGATACAAAAAGTTTGCAATTATGAAAGATATGCATAAAGACTACTTTTAAGGTACGATGATGCAACTTTTTCCAATATGACTGGAGCTTTTTTTATTAATTATAGGAAGTCATCAGCAAATTGACACATAAAAGTAAAGAACGATGTATCTTGTTATACTAGTACGTTTAAAATACAATCAATTCAATTCAATGTATTCTCACATCGTGTAAAACAACATATAGAAAATACAACAATATCAAACAAAATACATAAAGCAAGACTGTACAGTTTACATTAACCTAGAAGGGTAACTCACTCATCAAAATCATCGTCTCATTACAAACAGTCTAAATCTAGAATTTGTTTTATTGCTACTTTAATTTGGTAAAATAAAAAAAATTGTTCCTAAAAACCCTGTTGCTGTGTGCTGTCACAGAATAAACAGTGTATAGTGGTCAGTCAAAAAGACAATAGGTGTCTGGTCAGTGTACCCAGAGTCACTGGTAAACTGTCAACGGCTCAGAATTATTCTCACAACCGTGACCGATTTTGAGGAACATTTCTATTTTTTGTACCAAAGTAAAAGTGCAATAAAACAAATTTCGGATTCAGATTGTGTGTAATAAGACGATTATTTTGATACCATCATGAAATTAAAAGAATTATATGAAATGTAAATATGCTTAAAAGATAGTTTGAAGCATATATTGTTTTACCTTACGATTGTTTACGCAGAACTCATAAATAAATAAAATAAAATAAATTAATTAATTAATTAAAATGAATTAAAAACTAAATAAATATATAACATTAATTAATTGATTAATAATTCAATAAAGCAAATATAAAAGAAATATATGAATAGATTAAATTGATAAATTAGTCAATAAATAAACAATAAAAACAAATAAATAAATAAATGCATGTGGATGTATAGATTAACAAATAAATAAATATAAATATATTTACATGCCATTCACGACAAGGTGCAATAAATTGGTAATTCAGTATTTTCAAAGTAACTGGCATTTATTCTCCTTAA